CCCCGGCGGACCCCGCGGCCTCCGTGCACCGTCTCCTCCGGGACCCGGCTCGACCCCATTTCCACGGCACCTTCCTCAGACCGTGTCGGTCCGAGAGGGCCCGTGGCAGCTCCGCCCGCCTCGGTGACCGTGGCTCGCGTGGCAGCTCCGCCCCGCCGGCCGCGGCTTAAGCCCGCGATTGTCTGATGGAGTTCATTCGGGATGGGTGACCGGCCGGCACGGCCCCCGGCCCCGGCCCCGGCCCCCGGCTCCCGGCCCCAGCCCCCGGCCCCAGCCCCCGGCCATGGCAGCCTGAGCGCTGTGAACTCCCACCGGAGCTTTATTCTGTGTTTCTCAGGAGTAGCCATCCACTTGTTTAAAAGTGAAAAGAGCAAGGCACCAGCCGGCTGGAAGAGCAGATCTCACCCGAGACAGGACTCAGGGTCTCCAACCATCCCCATCACTGTGTTTTCAGGCTTGATACCTTAGTATTACTTCTCGCTCCCTAAAAGCCTCGCCAACTGTGATGCCTCAGGATTGGTACGGATGGCCCCGCTCTCCCGCAGCCAGCTTACCTATGCACCTGCCCAGGGACAGCTAAGCTGATGGAGTCGAGTGACTGACAGTCCACATCTGTGTTTCAGAAATACATACGTTGACCACAGTGTGTAGACTAGGCCACTGGGTTGACACAACAGATGTAGGGTAGTTTTCTACTTACCTAGGGAAATTATGTTCCTCAGGGTTCTCTTGACTATGTCTGTAGACATCTTTGGTTGGTACACGCAGGGGGTACTGTAGTAGAGACTGTAGATACCGCTGAAAACCCCCTTAGCACATCACCCCCGTAAGAGTTATCTGGCCCCAAGTGCCAATAATGTCAAGTTCTACAGAAACACCAACCTAGGCTGAGATGGTGAAGAGCAGACAGACGTAGATGTGTGGCTGGTGGAGGGAGGGAGGGGTAGTGCATGGCTGGCATAATTGCATAGACAGACAGCGGAGCTTGACTGTGTTTAAGAAGATCTTAACACTACTACCTCCTAGAATGGCCTCTGTCTTTGAACAGGTCAACCACTGTGACTCCTACCAAGTAGCATGAATTTCAAAGGCATTATGCTAGTTGAATAAAAGCCAGTCTTAAAAGGTTACTTTCTGTTTGGTTCCAGAATGTCCCATTGTAGAGTGAGAAAATGAGAACAAGATTGGTGATTGGTTGCTCAGGCCTATGTTTGGTGGGGACATGACAAATAAGCAGCAGGAAGGAGTTTCTTGGAGGGATGGAATACTTCTATATAGTGATGGTGATATTCAGTCTGTGCGTATGATTAAGCATGGTAGAACTATACACATATGTGCATGTGCACATAGACATGTACATGTAAAAACAGGTAAAATTCAAGTAATATTGTACTTTTTGCCAGCCTTGTACATTTGATCATTCTGAGATAGTTTTATGACTATAGCAAACTTCTCTAACTTTGCTATTTTTGTATCTTTTTGTGAATTTAAAATTTCAGAAAATTTAGAACAAAACCAAACATAAACATGCTTCCTCTATCTTGAAGGTCTTACAGTCACTGTTTTTAAGCAACCCATCTCCTAACCTGGCTGATTAGGCCTACTGGCTAGCTCCTGCCTCCATCCCCATGGGAACTCTTTTCTGTCTTGCTCCTTACGTTTTCTTGTTCCCTCTTCTTTACATGGCATTTATACCTTCTCTCTGTTCTTTTTTTTCTTCTTCTTTTTTTCCCTGGTAGCTGCCTTCTTTATCTTCTCCCTTTGCCCTCAGTTTGGTTTGTCCTTTAGATCTCAATGTATCTGTGATTTGGTGAACCTTTTCCTGACCAAGTCAGAATCATATTCCTGTCACACAGCTAAGTTCTTACCCTCAGCGCTCATAATTGCATTACATCTGTGTCATTGTATATTGGTGGTTTTCTGTACTAGAGTCCAAGTATACTATTTGCTTCTGTTAACCATTGCATTTCTAGAGGTTGTAAGTGGTTCACCTTCACGGAATAGTTTGTCATATTTAGAGCTAGGTTTTAAGATTTCTAATTTTTAAGGAAGTTTCCCCATGTTTTTCAGTCCATTATCACATATTAGGACCCTACTATAGCATGTGTACTACAGCTAACTTTTCTAAAATCTGAGGCATATTAGTTAGCAGTTACTACATGAGCTTCAACTGAGGAAACTAGAAACTGATGCACGCATCAAGTGAAGCACATTTTGATTTTTTTAAATGTCAACAGGCATAGTGCACATAAATGCTTTATGAGGAAAGAAGGAGTTTCAAAGTTACATTAAATGTTTTTATTTTAAATGTAATAGTAGCTAAAATGAAATAGTGACTGAATCCCACAGCCATTCATGTGATCAAAATCAATTCGGCAGTTTACCATTTGAACTATATTGGTTAATGAATTGTGCAGCTAACATAAAGTAATTTCCTAATTGTGAAATATGTCTATGGAAGGTCGCAGATAGTTTGTATATTGAATATTTTCATAAGACGGATCAGGAATTTTGATAGGTCCTTTATCTGGAAATACATTGCGTTATAGATAGTACAAGTAGGCACCTATCATTTGATTACTCCTAATTGTTCTCAAAGCAAGCTGTTTTAAGTGTTATAAATACGTTATTGGTTCCTTTGTGAAATTCATTCTTTTTTAACATATTTTTTGCAGTGTACTGTGACTGGAGAAAGATGATGGAAGAGAGTGGGATAGAGACTACGCCCCCCGGGACACCGCCCCCGCCCCCTGTCGGCCTGGCCGCAGTGTCCTCTACGTCCATTCCTCTAGGTACCCGTGGCATCGAACACCTACTGCTGCACTGGAGGATGGCAGAGACACTGCTATCTTTTCTGAGACAGTGTTGTAAAGGAATATGTATTTAACAGCTTTCCTTGTCTTTGTCAGGTGGAGAGAAATAGACTTGTTAGATTTAAAGAGTATGAAAAATAGTCTTGCTTATTAAAAGTTTTGCTTTAAGTAGAATTTTGTGCTGTATATTCATGCTGAGTATAGTCATCTCTCTCATGATGACAAAATCTCCTTAAAAGTTTGTGACTGGCTGTCTTGGTGAGACTCTACTGCATAGGGTTTTTCTGCTCAAAGTAGGGATGAAAAAGGCTTTTCTTAAAGCACATCAGAACAAATGAACTGAAAAAGAGGACTTCTTACGAAAGTGCTGTAGTGATTTGATGTATTCCTGCTTCTTTCACTTGGGAGAATTGCAGTTGTTTATAATCAGGTGTATGTGATGTATATCTTAAATTATGCACTTAAAAACAATTCTTGGGATATGGTCTTTTAAAATTATGCAAGCAAAAAGTTTTTAAACCAAATTTTAAAAACCTTTTCCAACTTTGTGTTTTGTCCTCTCTCCTTTTTTTTTCCAGCTGCAGCCAGTTCTTTCCCATCTCCAAGTGTGTCCTCTCTGGAGCCCTCACCTCCGCAGGCACACTCCACTCCTCAGCCGTCCCTGCCTCCTCTGCGGCCGTCAGCGCCACTGCCCTTTGTGCCCGCGGCACCAGCTGCGCCTGTCCCAGCCCATGTTCCCTCTGTGCCCCCTTCTGCTCCTCCACCAGCTGCTGCTGCCTTCAGTGCCCCTCCCTCAGCTTACTTCCCGCCTTCCACCTCCGCTCCGGGCCCTGCGTCATCTGCACCCTCTTCTGGTCCTCCGACATCAGGGTTTTCTGTAGGCACGACCTATGACATCACAAGGGGACATGCAGGAAGAGCTCCCCAGACGCCTCTCATGCCGTCCTTTTCTGCACCTCAAGTAACGGGTAATTCTCATCTGCTACGCTCTGAAATACGTGACTATATATGTAATGGTTTATTGTTGTTTTACAGTTTTACTGGGCTTTATGTCAGGTATCATACAATTCCACGGTTTAACTTGTACAATTCAGTAGTTTTGGTGTATTTACACAGGCATGCAGCCTATGGCAAAGGCCACAAGTGTGTAACTTTTCATCACAGTGAAAGTGTATGTTTGTGTGATATCCCATATATAAATGCATGTTGTCCTTTATTAGAACTCGAGTAAAAGCCTATGGAAAGGGAAAAAAAATTCTCTTGTAAATTCTCTTGGGTGGTTCTTTGAGTTCAGCATTTAATACTGAAATGCTTAGGTATGTTGTTAAAGCAGTTGTGAGTATGCTTCTCGCGTGGTGTGTCATTTGTAGACAGTTTGTAGAGTGACTGACACATGCCTTTGATTAGGTATGCTCCCGGCTCCTATTACTCAGCAAGCCAGCATGGCTTCTCTGGCACAGGGAAGCACCTCAGCCATCACTTTCCCAGAGGAGCAGGACGATCCTAGAGTTCATAGAGTCCCGGATGAAGCATCTGGTGGTGGAATCTGGGGTTTCATCAAGGTAAGGGATATTAACTTTTAACTTGTATTTGGTTTTCCAGCTGATCGGATCTGTATTCATTAGAGGCAAGTTTAAAAGCATAGAAGGCATAGGAAATACATAAAAGTCTTCAGACCTCAGCCTTCTGATTAGCTAGGGTTACAGGCGTGAGTCACCAGAGAGATACGTTCTTAACAAACAGCAGGAAAAGTTTTTATTTACAATCTTAAAAATGCAATAAATGTGTCTTTGTAAAGTTTAAGCTAATTAGTGTACTCAAAAAATAAGCTGTTTTCAGTATTGCTTTTGATATATTCCAGTTCCTTTATCATTTTACTTTTTTTTTTGAGGCCTGAACTCTGGGCCTGAACGCTTTCCCTCAGCTCTTCACCTCAACGCTAGCACTCTACCATTTGAGCCACAGCACTACTTCCAGCTTTTTTCTTTTTTGCTTATGTGGTGCTGAGGAATCGAACCCAGGGCCTCATGCATGCAAGGCAAGTGCTCTACCACTGAGCCACCTTCCTAGCCCTCTCGTTTTACTTTAACACTTAACAGTTTGATGTAGCTGATCTACTTCACTATACTATATAAGATAGATACCAAATTTATTTTCCAACTAATGGATTATTTCCATGTCATACCTTCAGATTTACTTTTCTCTTAATGACTAAATTGTATGTTAGCACCAGTGTCAGTGTCTGTCTTTGCAATGGGAACGTACTCACTTGTAACTCTAGGCTCATTTATGACCCTAGTGTGTGTGGAAAATCTGTTCTGTACTGAAGTGGGCATGAAATCATTCAGTAATAAGACAGAAATGGTGATTCATGTGTGCATTCATGAAGGTATCTTAGTAACTGGTTCCTTAAGCTTAATGAGTGCTCTGCTGGGTTTTCCCACTTTCCTCAGTGGTCACCCTCCCTGTAGTCTGCCTCAGGGTTATTTAGTTTTACTACGTTTGGAACACATTTAAAATGGTTAAGTGATTAGCTGATTTATTTACATCATACGAGCTTAACTTTCAGGCATAGGGTATTTTTGTAAACTTGCCTTTCATGTCTTTGTGCTTCTACAAGTTGTTAATATATGAAGCCTGCCTGCACCTTTTTCTTTGTTCGTAAGAGCATGTGTCAGTTAGCAGTTGTTATAGCTAGGCCAACTCTGCAGGCTTGTAATTGTAACTTTAGAGATTTTTTTTTAGAATAAGGCTGGTCAGCAGTCTTAAATCTGATTTGTATGCCCTCATGTTGTCTTGAACCACTGTAGTTCCTGTAGATTGGAAAAAGAGAAGCTGTCCTTGAATGCTGTAGAAAGAGGCCCTGCTCTCCCACACCCTCGTACTTTGGGAGAAGTGTAGTTCAAGAAGCGACCCTTAGGTGTGGTTCCTGTGGCTCAGGGTGCAGTTCTAAGAATGATTTAGTTGAGAAGGAAGAGTGTGGGAATGAATGAAACAAGAGATAACTTTAGTGGAACATACTGAAGAAATGGAGTCAATTTCTGGAGGCTAAAGATGACACATGTTTACTATTTCTGTCTTTTGAGGAACAAAATAAAAGACTTATAGGCATCTGCTGACAGTGTTTTTTTGAAACCCCAAGGAATGTTTTATCTAGTTTTTTTGATAAGTACATAGATAGGAAATACATAAATACATTTGCAAATGAAATATATATATTGGAGCTAGGAAGGTGACTAGTGGTAGAGCGCTTGCCTTGAATGTCTGAGGCCATGGGTTCAATTCCTCAGCACCACGTATGCAAAAAGAACAAAGCCGGCAGTGGTGCTGTGGCTCAAGTGGTAGAGTGCTAGCCTTGAGCTGAAGAGCTGAGGCACAGTGCCCAGGCCCAGAGTTCAGGCCCCACGACAAGACCCCCCCCAAAAAAAGAAATACATATAGTATACATGTATATAAATACATTTGCAAATGAAATACATACCTACATACAATGTGTGTGTGTACATATACACACATAATACACAGAGTATGATATTTTGCAGGCCAGTGCTCCTTAAAGTGTATTTATTGTGGGCTACTGTTGCTCTGTACTATGTGGCATGAAAGGCAGAGAAGTTAGAGCATTCATGGCAATTTGACATTGATCTTTGATGCTGATCTGATTTTATTTTTCTTACATTTTAGTTAATTAATTTTTTTGAGGAATTGAATTTTGGAGTCTTTATTGGAGCGCCAGTTGTCTGCATTTTCATTTTAAAGATACTGGTCTAGGATGCATTCAAAATTTTAAAAAATGATCATAGTGCTCTTTGGTTGAGTATGCATTTGTATATTTTCTTGTTCTTTGCAGGGTGTGGCTGGGAATCCTATGGTGAAATCTGTGCTTGATAAGACGAAGCATTCAGTTGAAAGCATGATTACAACGCTGGACCCTGGCATGGCCCCATATATCAGTATGTACCTAAGTTAGAGCAGTGTCTGTCAGCACCAGTGCTCATTGTGATCCCAGGTCATTTCTACTACTCATATAGCCATTCCTCTTCATGTTTTGCACTAAAGAAGACTGTCAGGCTCAGTTTTTGGTATTAACTTAAATTTGTCTTAGTTTCTATCTTATTTACCATTAAATACGTTTTAAAAACTTTACCGAATGAACTTGAGAGGAGCGCTATTACTGATTTTAATTGTAAACATGTTACTGCTACTTTATATGACTTTCACTTTATTTTCTGGTGACATTGAAGCAATGCTTTTGTTTATACTATCCCAAGATAACTCATTCTGTATAAGAAAATAATTCTAAAGCTGAGTTCTAAAACACCGCTAGTGTCAAGTGTTTATGAAAAGCATTACTCAACCTCTCACAAAATGCTAGGATAAAAACTTTGAAAATAATGGAATATTTTGTTAAATTATCCTGTTTATAAATGATAGTACACAGGTTTTAAAAGCAATGGAAAAGTTTAAAGTATTTGAAGTGATGAATGAGTAAAATATACACTATTAAGCTTGTCCATTTTTTAATGTGCTTACACTTTTCAGATATTAGGGCAGAAGTATATGTATGGTTGACAGATATCTACTTGTACTATAGGCTCTTTTATATTGTAAACTTAAAAACATTCTTACTGTCTTTAAGTAGTTGTACAGAGGAGTGCCGTTTAACAAAGCAGTTATGAATGCAGTGCATCTTGATCCCCTCACCTCGAACCTTCTCACCCTCCCTTTCTCCCACCTTTCCCTTTTCATTTTGTGATAAAGTCAACGGATTCTTGACTGCATTTTCTCCCCCTTCTTCCCCTCCCCACCCTCTTGCAGGTAGCCATGTCCTGGTGCTTATTTTGTTGGCTTTGACTTAGTCTTTCTAAAAAGTTGTACTGTTTGAGCTCTCCATAAAGTCTGTTATATCAGTTATTTGTAGCTGCTATGCATGTTCTTTTTAAATGGTGAAAATGTATAAGATGGAAGACCCACTTGCTTAAACTACTTCCTAGAGAAAAAGTGAATCTTTTTCAAGATTTCATGGTAGGTTTTGTTTAGTATATTATTTTTGTACTACTCTTAACAAGGGATGTGTTATCAATAAGAATTTTTATTTTAATCTCAAATGTGTAACTGTGGTTCACAAGCCAGATGTTTAATTTCTATGATTGCTTTATAGCTAGAGGGCTGGAAACTGGTGCCCACATGGTGTTAGAAAGTTGTATATGGTAGATGTGTCATAAGGCCTGGGCACTGTCCCCGAGCTCTGTTGCTCAATGCTAGCTTTCTACCACTTTGTGCTACAGTGATGTTTAGTGGAGAAAAGAGTCTCATGGACTTTCCTGCCTGGGCTGGCTTTGAACCATGATCCTCAGATCTCAGCCTCCTGATTAGCTACGATTACAGGCATGAGCCACCAACACTCTGTTAGATGTGTTCTTATTAACCAACAGCAGGAAAACTTTATTTACAATCTTAAAAATGGAATAAATGTGTCCATGCAAAGTATAAGCTTAATTAGAAGCTAATTAGTTTAGTGAAAAGATAAGCTGTTTTCATTATTGGTTTTGCCATTGTTTCCCATAATTAAATCTATGGAACACTTTTAGGCGCCATTTTTAGATACTGAAAAAATGTTTCATGAATGGATTAAGTATGGACAGAATTGAGTTAGGGTTACTAATTTTAATTATTTGATTTTCAAATACTGATATGTTAATGTACACTGTGAGTTTCCAAGAAATATAAATATGGTAGTTCACCACAAAATTCTTCTCTCAGAACCACCAATTGTGAACATTTTATAGAATGCTGAAAAATATGTTCTAGTTAATACTCAGAACTCTTATAAGGTATGTTCCATTTTCTGCTGCAGGTAAAACTTCTTCAGATAACATGTTACAAATTCAGCAGTTGTAAAACTCAGGAAAAGGGGGAAGGTTGGAGCGTTTGGGCGTAGATTGAAAAGGTGGTCTTGTTAGGTCAACTGCTGACAGATCTTGGTTTGAATCCTGATGTTAATGCAGAAAAGCCGATACATTGAGCAGACTTGTTCAGCCTGTTTCTCTAACCCCAGAAAGATAATGCATAATATCTTACCTGGTTTTATGAGTTTGGTAATGTTTATGTAAATGAAATGTTGTTATTGTAATTGTGAGAATTTTACTATTTCAATTTGGAATTGAAACTTCTTTTGGCCTTTATAGAGTCTGGGGGTGAGCTGGACATTGTAGTGACATCAAATAAAGAAGTCAAAGTGGCTGCTGTGCGTGATGCTTTCCAGGAGGTCTTCGGCTTAGCTGTGGTAGTCGGGGAAGCTGGACAGTCCAACATAGCTCCACAGCCGGTGGGCTATGCAGCTGGGCTGAAAGTAAGTAACAGAACTCTGTCAGACTATGGAACCTGGCACCTAAACTTTTCATAATGGTCGAATGACCCTGTGGTCTCTCTGGGGCTAATGTGTTTTTATACAATGAAAATAATGATCAGCATTGCTTTTCGTTACCTCCGTAGTATTACAAAGTTGCAGTGGATTTTTAGTTTAAAGGAAACTAAAGACTAGGTTGTTGCTTGTAATTCCAGTTACCTGGGAGGATTGTAGTTCAGCATCAGCCTGGACAGAAAGTTAGTAAGATCCCTATCTCTGTCAGTCAGTTGGGCATGATGATTCATACCTGTAATCTGCTATGGTATCATAGAATGTGCCCACTCCAGCCCTGGGCAAAACTGCAAGACCTTATGTCAAAAAATAACTAAAGCAAAGGAGAAAAAGGATGGGCCTAAGTTCAATCCAAAAGAAATTTTTAGTGTTGATTTTGATTATTGAGGGAGAGAACCCGAGAAAAGCAAGAGTAAGTCTAACAAAGATCTTAACCCAGTTTTAACATTCAAATCAACTACTGAAATTAGGAACATCCTTTGAATCTCAGAAGATTTTTAAAAAATTATTATTGTTAATAATACTGAAAATGTTACTGTTTCAGGAACTCTGGCTAGCACTCTTCCACTTGAGCCACAGCTCCACTTTTTTTGTAGTTAATTTGAGATAAGAGTCTGTGGACTTCCCTTCCTGGTCTGGCTTATGTGCAGTCTTAATTTCTCATCTGAGCCAAGTCATTTAGTATAAGCTCTTGAATGGGCTCTAATGGCCTTCTTCCTCATAGTTCATTTAGAGATGATTATTTCAGTAGCCATGCAGCTAGGTCTTGATGCCTGGTAAAGCAAATCCTATTCTTAAAACACTCCTAGGAACTAACATTAGACAGCAATTTTAGATACTTTATATATTAAAGTATCTTTATAACGGTAAAGGAGCCCTCACTTAAAGTGATAGAGTTAAAAAAAAAGATGATATCTAACCTTTTTATTTTCTGGATTTTATAAGCACAAAATGAAAAATTTGAACTTGTTGCCTCACTCAGCTCTATGATATGAGTATAAAGTCCTCTGCTGTAGTATAGTAAAAGAAAATAAAGGTCTTATTTCCTGGAAGTATAGAGTCTAGGAATGTTGTCTCTTCTATATACATGTGTATACAAATATATACATGTGTGTGAATTAGATAAAAAGATTATGTGATTGCCTATATAAAAAATCAAGAGAAGGCCGGGCGCTGGTGGCTCACGCCTGTAATCCTAGCTACTCAGGAGGCTGAGATCTGAGGATCGCAGTTCAAAGCCAACCCCGGGCAGGAGAGACCGTGAGACTCCTATCTCCAATAAACCACCAGAAAACCGGAAGTGGCGCTGTGGCTCAAGTGGTAGAGCGCTCGCCTTGAG